CCAAGATGCTGCAACTGTCGTTAGTGCGACCTGGTTGCCAAGTGCTCAGACTGCGATCACATAACCGTGGGGATGCTGCAACAATTGTAAGTGAGAGGACTGGCTGCAAGTCCCTTTGTTCAGCACTGTTGTAACTTTGAACAGTCACTAAACGAGTGGTTGTTAAGTGAGGACTACCTGTATCTAAAATCAAACAGTACATGTAATTTTTTTTGAAAAAGACAACTCCATTTCCATATTTTTCACATGAATGGGAAAGACTGTGCATTAAGTGGTACCATGTGTATGGTAAAAATTAAATGACCAAAATAGAGGACAGAAGTGAGTTTTGGACAAATAAAACTAAAGGACAGCTTTCTGAAAGAAAGGATTGTCCTTTATAATAAAGGACTACGGTCACCGTAAATATAATACAAGAAAATTATCCAACCTAAAAAACCAGAAAGAAAACAGAAAGAAAAAAACAGAAGGAAACCCTCCACGAAAAAGAAAGAGAAAAATAATTAAAAGAAAATTAAATCTTTACTCACCACCCCTTAACCCCATATCTCAACTCAAAAACCCCAAACCAGCTGAAACGAAAAAAATATTAATAAGGGACAGAGGACAAGGGGTCACACCCCAAACGCCCTGAGCAGCTCCCAGACGGCCATTATTAAGGCAGACCCTTATAAATGCTGCTGTAAGTTCTTGCTGAAACAGCCGGAATAATTGCAAATTATCACAATTAGGCGATCTTGTCTGTGTGTGTGTGTGGGGGGGTATCTGAGACAGGCTGGTGGCACCTTTTCCGACTAGCAAATTTTATTAAAAGGCAGAAGGCTTTTTAATTCCCTCGGATTTCAGCTGGCTTCTGCAATGCATGATAATCAGGGCTGAATTTTCAACTGCAAATTATTCTCCTCGCTAAACGCTGCTGCTGGTTTCACCAACCGGGTGCAAATGAATCTTTGAAATCACTGGGGACCTGTGACCTTCACAAGCCCGTTTGCGTGCTCGATTCCGCTTCGTAGCCAGAGAGGCTCCCGCTCTGCTTCTTAATAAACATTTTAAGACGCTAAGAAGAAAACCGACTCAGATCTAGGTTGGGTGGCCTGTCTCTTGAAAGAGGAACGGCGGGAAAAAGGCGACGTTTGCGCTCAAATCTCTTGCAGGTCCCTCCTTTTGCAAGCAACGAATGCATGCGTTCTGAGGATGTTCAAATGCACACTTACTCTTTCCAGCTCGATAGTAAAGGTTCGGTTCCAAGCTTGCCCGTTAACTGGACCCCAGTTTGTCTGGCCGACGACTTTGTTGTCGACCTTGAGAACCGCAAGGACTTCGCCTGCCGAAGGAAGAAAGAAGAAATGGGGTGACCCCAGATCTTAGGGGTCCCACATCTCTTAGGGGTCCCACATCTCCTTGGGGGGAGACTCTGCCAAGCCCGCTATAAGTATTGCAGAAACTTAAGGCCACAGAGCACATGGCCTCTGGATCTTCTGCAGTGAAACGTTCCCCGCTGAATCGGAACTCTGCTCCAGCCATTGATTAACAGAAATAAATTCAGAACTGGCAGGATTGGAAAAGGTCTTGCTCAAAAGCAGCTCTATGGAATGGCTTCTTGCGATTGGAAGAAATGTTCAATTCCCCTAATGGATCAGGAAGCTCAGTTTCGTCCAGAATTCTGCTTCCTGCAGCACCCAACTCTTTGTGGAGGCTCCCAAAATGTGGTTCAGCGCAATGTCTTCTCCAGGATCCTGTTTACACTGATATACGGTAGGTAATCCTCGCTTAAAAACCACAATAGGGATCGGAAAATTGGTTGTTAAGTGGGGCAGTTGTTAAGTGAGTCACCACATGACCGGACCCAATTATACAACCTTTTCTTACAACAGTTGTTAAGCAAATCATGTGATTGTAAAGTGAATCATGTGGTCATTAAGTGAATCCAGCTTCCCCATTGGATTTTTTTGCTGGAATTTGCTTAACAACCATGTGATTCGCTTAATGACCACGGCGATTTGCTTAACAACCATTGTAAAAAAAAAGGTTGAATATCGCGATCATGTGACTGGGGGGGTGCAACAGTATGCAATGGCCATAAGTGCAAGTACAGGTAGTAAAGCACTTTTTCCAAGGCTGTCATAACTTTGAACCATCATTAAACAAACGGTCGTTAAGTGAGGACTACCTGTCCATGAGATTTCAGTCATTCTCCTAGAGAACCACCTAAACTAACAGCAGAATATCTCATCTTGTGGCAGGGAGTTCCATGCATTAATTACTTACCAGGTGATATGCTCCTGTCTTTTTTTTCTGGGAAGTTATTATGCCCTGATTTCATTTAGGGAACTAAAAGCATCCTGTGCTTTAAAAAAAAAAAATTAGAAAAGCAGATGATAGGCCGCGGGGCACTTAATTTTTAACATTTTCTATATCTTTATTCCATTAACCACGTCACCATCCTGAAGGAGTTCCCGATCGTTTTTATTTGGATAATCACCATGATTCAGCTGTGTCCATTGCGATTTCTATTCCATGCTTTAGGGGTGAGTGGGACAGGAGAACCAGCCACTTGGGGCTCATTTTCTCTGACGTGGGGGGGACTGAAGGTAGCTGTGAGACAGGACCCCCTCGTGTCTCCCCAGAGAGACTCCACCGAGGATCTTCAACACTCACCGCTGAGTTCCTCATAGCGAAGTTTTCCCGCAGCCCCCCGGCTGGGGATATTGACGCCAACCCACGTCCGAGTCAAGGGTTTGAAGTCACCGGGGCTTGTGTAAATGGGCACCGAAGTGGCTACACGGGAACGGCCTGAGACCTTCTCCAAGAGGTCTTCACAGCCTATCAAACGTACTTGAAGGCTACCTGCCAACCAAAGGAAAGCCACAAAGTGTGAACAACTGCAGCAAAACACATACATTCCAGTTCTTTGTTTCTCCCTGAAGATAGCATCTTTCCACCTGCCCGGGACTCAAAACATTGGGGACTAGTGAGACGTCCTAGGAAAGGCTGTCCCAACCTCTGGAGGGCTGGGTGATGCCTGCTCCTGTTTGCCATATTCAGGTGGGTTTAAAGAAGGATCAAAGCTGTCCAACCCACATTATCGGAGGGAGTTCTAGAAGCCACACTTGGCTTACGGCCTTCCCATTCCCAATCTGGTGGACACTCAACAAGGAACTGAAGAATGATGGATAACGTCAAGATCATGAGAAATGATAACTCCACTGTACACTGCGCTGGTCAGACCACACCTGGAATACCACGTCCAATTCAGGTCACTACAATGGACAAAAGGATGCTGAAGAACAAGAATGAGGGGCAGAGAAGAACAACAAAGATGCTGAGGACTTTAGAAGCTAAATCCCCTGAAGAACAGTTAAAGGGACTGGGTTTGTTGGCCTAAAAAAGATAAGATGGAAAGGAGACATGAGAGCAGTCTTCCAACCCTTGAAGGGCCGTCCCAGAGAAGAGGATGCAGATTTATTCTCCATGATGAGCAAGAGTAGGTCAAGATCCAATGGGTGGAAGTTTTACAGAGGGGGATCCAAAGTTGAAATGAAGCAGTGGACCAGCCTGGCTCCTGGAGTTGTGGGGTCTCCATCACCGGAGGGTTTCAAGAAAGGTTGGACAGCTGTTTGTTTGGGATAGTTGGAAGATTCCTACCTCCAATGTCCTTCCAACTTTAGGAATCTATGAACATCTGGAAGCTTCAATGGATCCAAAATGCAGCAGCTGGACAGCTACTGCAAGCAGCTTGTAATGTAATGTAAGCACTTGAAAAATGTGTGCAGTTTGGCCATTGTTGTCAAAACACAGCTTAACTTTCCATGACATCACTGCAGTTATGGAAAATTATGTTGCAGGGGAAAATGTTAAAATCCATCAAAGGATTTCCCCCCCGGGTTAACTTTGCTCAATGGCCTCACAGCACTTTTAATGAGCACAGGAAAATTATTGCTCAGCAAGATCCTAAGGAAAAACGTTCAGAATATATTGCCGAACGAGAGAATTGCCACGATTACAATAATTCCAGTCATTCATCAGAATACTTTAGAAGGGAAATTCCAGCATGAATTAGCAAGGTAGATCTAAAGGAAGTTAGAATCTCTCTCTCTGGGTTTGAACAGAGACCCCGGCTCCTTGGTTAATTTGTTCCAGTTACAGAACTCATAAAAGGGGCTTCTGTTTATTTTGCTTTGAAGTTTTAGTCTTTGTACTTTGAAGTTTGACTGGAAATTGGCCCACCTTTTCTGCAGCTTTGTTGCCATTCAAGATTGTGTTTACACAACACACACACACCCTACCGATAAGCGAGATAACTCTGTTGTTATTTTACTACACATAGTTAATCTGTTTACAAACACCACAATGTTTTCATTATCAGCCCTGTTTGTGAAACAATTGTCGTTCAGTCCAAAATGTGCAAAGTGTAATGTAACTTCTATACTGGCCCGTACAGCTGTAATAAGAACAACAAAACCTGTGCTGTATTCTTTGTGTTCCATAATCTCTGATTGCACAATTTCTATTTTCTTTTCATTTGCAGGCACGCACAAACGCAGGTTCAAATGGAAAATCACCCTCTGGGGGAGATGGGCAGCATATAAATTTAAAAAATAAAATAAAATAAAATAAAATAAAATAAAATATAATAAAAATAATATTTAACGGATCTGAT